GCATTTTCAAGAATTTATTAAAAAGAAGATCCTAAATTAGAACAGCAACGAGCTCATAAATCAGACAAAATCATAGCAGCAGCCGTTTTTACCTCACAGTATAAGCGTAAAAACGTTAATAAAGTAACAACAGATATCTACTAAATCTATAAAGTAACAAATACATAGTAATTATTACTCAAAGTATTATTTCAATCGTTTTTAATGTATCAAGCGTCTATATGCAAAAAAAAAAAAAGCCCAAAACTATGTTTTTCATCATTAAATGAAGATATAGCCTTTGCGGGCTTTACGGCATAACCAGGTTTCATTCGCCCGGGCCCATGGGCAGTTGCAATTAGCTTTGTCTACACATTATATTTGCACTTTGTTGCTTGGCTTCTTGGATTTCTGAATTTGTAGAGAAAGGACTCCATTTTAGTTTTGCTCTCTTAATCACCAAACTTAACCTTACGCATAAAGAAAAGTTTTAAAAATGCAGTTCATTATATACATTTTTATATTTCTTAATTTCTAATTTCTAAAGGAAGTATTTAAATGAAATCTCAGTCATAACTTTTTGTGTTACTTGATGCCTCTTTACTTTGAATTCTCCTTTTTAGATTTCCTTTCTTCTTGGCGTGGGATGGAGAACAAATGTTTGAGGCCTTACGATTCTCACCATTGTATTTAATATCTTTAAACTGTAGCCTCATAAAGAGTAACAGTAGGTATGCTGCCATACATATAAACATGAAATTTTAAAGTTTAAAATAAATCTATATTTCAATCCATTTTCGAATAGAGGTTGTTATAATTATCATTCTGTGGAATAATTTATTTTAAAGATGAAATTTTCAATGTAGCCTGAAATAACAGATGAAGTTCATTGTGGTGTTTGATTTTGAATACTAATAGTAAAGATAAAATATATAAAAACAACACAATGTATTTTAAACACTGATAGGTATATTTTCCGCTTCTGGAATAAATATCAGTTATCTACTTGGTTAATAGAATGTTAAGTCTAATGTAAGTCTTCAGTTCTCACGGTCTTATTAATTTAGCATATTTTATTAATTGATATTCATTTTATGTGAATTCCTTATTACCGATCAGAAAATAAGTTGTAATGGATAAACTATATTGATGATAAAGATATACCAATTAGCATATAACCTGAAGAACGAGATCATTATGGTGAAACCAGTGTTATCGTCATTGTATCCGAGATGCTTTGTTTAAGGTTCAATAACATCTTATTACAATAGAATAAAAAAATATCTCCAAATTTACATAACCAGCTGCTTTCGTCAAGAGCTTAGAAACAAACATTTATAAATTCCTGATACGATCAACATTTGAAGGGGGGGGGTAAAGGACTCTTGTTCTTTGTGACCCAGTATTTTTTATCTGTTTCATTCAACAGATAATTATTAAAAACAAAAAAAAAGCACATTTACCTAATCAGTGAGTACCTTTCAAAATATAAAAAAACCTTGGTCGTTATCAATGAATTTACACACACGCGTATTCATTTGTACGCCCTTGACGGAGGTAGCTAGCTAGTCAAGTAAATATGGGCTTATAATTAGCGTTATGATTATTATTTTTTAAATGGCATTTTACCTTAGAGCATACACATTTTAGCTACAATTATGTTAACATCGGTTCTAACAGATTCTAAGAACTTATGAATGAAAGCCAAGAAGAATATGTTATGATTTGTCAACCACACTACATAGTTGAGGTCAAGGCGTTAAATATATACATATACAATCAATTTTCACGAGCAACAACTGTTATAGTGTGAATCAGGTTAAGCAAATGAATGTAATTATTATCAATTTTATTTAAGACATTTATAGAACAGATATGAACTTACATTTAAAGTTTTATGTTACTTTTTAGTTTTTGTTATCAATATATTTCATCAGATACAACTTATTTTATAATCGATTGCATCAAATAAAGACAGTCTAAACAGTACTTAAATACTAATGAATACAAAACAGTTAGGTATCTGTTACAGCTACAAACATCAAATAATACTGTTGCGTCAGCGAGGTCACATGACTAGTGTGACGCCACGTTTCTAGAACTATCCTGTACCTTGGCGAATGCTCTAGCATTTACTAGACATAGGGTAGTTTGGTATATAAAAGAGGGTGACAACGTGACGGACAATAATGTAATGTGTGTGTAGATAGTGAGAAATTGAACTGCAGTCAGAAGTATTGTTGACGTTCGTTCATATAGCGTTTGTTTTAGCGCGATTGTTGAAAATAAGTGTATCGTAAAGTTATATTCAGAAAGAATAAACCAGTTTTATTAAGTAAGGACTTGTGTCGCTAAAGTTTCGTCGGAACGAAGTTAGGGAAAATCAATTAACAAACGGAGACGTAACAATACCATTTAATGTGCTGTGTACTATGATTGTTTTAGTATTCTACAAAAGTACAAAAACATTTTAAAAAGTTTACAGTGACTAGAAGTAAATTCTTGTATAAACACGTAACCTAACTCCAATATTACCACTAAGTTATTTGACTTGTTCGTAATCTACATTTATGATACCATATTTCTACTACAATTCAACCTTATTTCTGTAAGAAGAGCAGGTTTTACATGCGCTAGTTTGGGGTGGGTGTGTCATCAATTTCTTGTGTGGGTAAATTCAACTGATTGGTTCGCTTAAAAGCACGTGGCATTTTAAAAAGATGTACCAAATAGGTTGGATATACTTCCTCTGTGCCTTTGATAGTCACGTTGTTGAGAATTTGCTTGAACTTTAGGTTGTTTTTAACGTGTAGCACTACGTAAAACTAAAACTGTATAGGTGACTGATTAATCGCTGTTAGTGGTTTCGTTGAGTATGTGATTTAAAACTATTGATTAATCTCTGCTATAACTGTTCTGCTAACATTAGCGTTCCACGTATATAAGTAGATCTTTTAATAAGAAGTTGTTTTACTTTCAGAATTTAGTGACTTATCTACTAAAAGTTAGAATTTGGAGTGGCAAGTCTAGAACAGTAGAAGTATCTTGTACTTAAATTAATACTGTTTGGGAATGCTTATGCATGAAAGTCAAACAGTTCCTTCGAAGGTATTGCTAACCACCAGTTGTAGTGCTGGTAGTGGTACCATCATGAATAAAAACAAAAGGTAAGAATAGAGCATTTTTGGGCTCAAAGTATAATGTTTATTTGAGTTTAAATTAAAATTAAAAAAATTGTTATTAACTAATTTTTGGCAAATATGTGATATTATGTCGCTTTTGTACTTTTAGTTTTATTATATAACCAGATGTTCATAAATAAATTAAGTACTCTTCTGGTGTCGGCAATGATATAGTTTATAGAATTCTTCGTACCATTTCGTTTCACTTATAAAATAAATAAAGGTTCTAACGCCAATTTTCGCACCAGAAGGTAAATTTGTAATAAAATATAGATAGGCGTTCATAACTAACCCTATCGGAGGGCGAGGTGAATATTGAATGGCAAGCTGGAATATTGTCGACTTTACCTTACGCTTGCATAAAAACAATTATAACTGATAATATAAATAACACCTATTCTTCTTAAATCGATTCTGATCAACTGTTAATTTTTAATTTTTTCCTACATTTTAAATAAACACTCTAAAGTATCAGTATAATTCAATAAAATCTATAATTATTACAACTTTTTAAATTTTAAAAGTCTTGCTCTGTCACTCTATTAACCTCCTAGACCTCCCTTCTATTAATTAAACTCCAGACTCCAGTAGAATTAGAGCTTGTACAAAATCGAGAATAAAACTAATTTTCGAAAGATGAATATGAAATGTATAGTGTAGACCACAGAACTTAGAAGGTCACTTTTAAAATAATTTGGCGATAACTTGTGGAATGCATACTGATACTGATAGCTCGTGAGAACTGAAGATGGGTAATATAATGTACATGTAAAGTTTTTCAATTTCATTTGAAAATAGCTGGTTGTTCTAAGAAATGTCAGCCTATATACACTGTATGCTTACGAATCATCGATGTAATATAATTATGCACTAATTTACGGCAGAAAGAACTGCCCCGGATGAATATGTACCGAAATTTAAGTTTAATCTTGAAATACGCTTAATTTTAAGTCTGTAGCAAATATATGCGCTTCAAAGGGGCCAGCCCTTAATTCCAAATAAAAGTTGAATGTTGAAGAAGATTTTAAGAATTTAAGTCGCTAAGGTAGATATGATTTATTAAAATACAGACGCTCTGATTTGGGAGACAAAATTGACAGGTGAATCTGAATCGGCCATATCTAGACCACTCACTAGACGGCATTGTATAAACTGTTATTTTTGTATTACGTAAATGTATTACTGCAACATGCACAATTTTGACCGACAAGATGCATCGCAGTGGTTAATCATAGAAGCAGAATATAGTACTACTACTAGGCCAAATTTACGAAGGCG